GGCCTAACTATTGCATACGGTTCTGGTCACCACACTAACAGAAGGATGTGGATGCTTTGGAGAAGGTACAGAAAAGGTTTACCAGGATGTTGCCTGGTATGGGGGATATTAACCATGAAGAAAATTTGGATAGACTGGGTTTGTTTTCACTGGAACACAAGAGGTTGAGGGGTGACCTAATAGAAGTTTATAAGATTGTAAATGGCATGGATAGTGTGGAAAGTATGAGGCTTTTTCCCAGGGTGGAGGGGTCAATTACTAGGGGGAACAGGTTCAAGGTGCTGGGGCGTGGGTGGGGAGTTTAAAAGAGATGTGCGAAGCAAGTTTTTCACAAACAGAGTGGTGAGTGCCTGGAATGTATTGCCAGATGAGGTGTTGGAAGCAGACACAATAGCAGCATTCAGGAAAGGAATAGAGAGATACAGATCCTGTAAGTGAAGACAGTTGTAGTATGGAAGAGCAAAATGTGTTGGCACAGGCTTGACTGTTCCTGTGCTATACTGTTCTTTAATCTATTTACAGCATTTTCTGTTTTGACATTATAATTAATGGAGATAGTTATCACTACAGGACACATTATTATGTATAAGCACACATATAACTGCCGTTTGTGAATATCAGTGTCATCCTTCTAATTTCGTGGCCTGAATATGCGTCTTTTCCATAATATCCTGTAATGATATTTATGTAGAATTATAAATATATTGTTAATACAAAAAAAAGGTCTGACGATCAACATCCATATTTTGCCAAAAGTGAATGTATCACTTAAAGGATGCACTCAAAAATATCAGAGATAACAAGGTGTAGAGCTGGATGAACACAGCAAGCCAAGCAGCTCTGTAACAACTCAAAAATATCATCTTTGACTGGAGGGGTTGCAGTGGTGTATTATCATTCTGTTGGTGTTGATGACCTTTACCTTTTGCTCACAGTGTTGAAAATGATGAGAGTGAATACAGCCTGTTGTACCCAAGTCTACTGAGCTCAGCCATCTCCTGAGAATAGTAAAGTATTAATAATATTAAAGGGTAGAGACTACAACTCCTTGATGTGCTCATTAATTGCAGGTGATGGCAGTCTTAAATAGTCTTTGGAATTGTCATATCCCGATGTGGCTCATACTGATTTACAAATGATCCAGGCCTCGTCTTATAGCCCCCATCTAAAATAAAAGTTAATATTATTTATAAAGACATAGTAGTCATTGTGCTCACGTAATTAATTATCTACGAGGCACATGAGACATTTTTGAGATACATGATTGTGTGCTGTCTGTATGCGAGCTTTTTTTCTTTAAATCATTTGTTAACAGTTTCACAGACGTCTCTTGATTCCTATAATCCAAAAGTTAAGTAAAGATTTTGGACATTAAGAGTACTAGACTTGGCAATTATGCTCAGCTTTTGCTCCCATCCCCTTTTTCAGTTTGGTGTTGACAGGAATGATTAAATAATACATGCATCTTGTTAACTGAATCCTTTTTCTGATCCAAGAAAGATTATTTGATATGTATTATTGAATGAAGAAAAATCCTATTTTAATCTGTTGAGACAATGGCACCAATTTTCCTGGAAATTTTGAATTGAATCTTTTCCCAGGCAATGTGAAGTAATATAAGATGCTTATCTATTCACATGTATTTTGTGAATAAAATTATCTTTTGACAAAAAGAAAACTATAAGTTATAATCTGGCCATACAAAGAAACCCATTCAGTAACTTGAACGTATACATATGTAAGTAACAGGTTTCCCATGCCAATTTCTATCAGAGGTCAGCAGTTGCACTGTTCTATAAGGACAGAAACATAAGTCAGTGTAAAGTGCACAGTATTATTCACCTGCCAAAATGTGGTTCTGTCTCACTGTGAGGAATAACTCAATCCGTAACCTGTCTCAGCAATTATGGAGTCATAGAGTTGTATAGCATGGAAGCAGACCCTATGGTCCAACTTGTCCATGCTGACCAGATATCCTAAATTAATGTCCTTTTTGCCAGCATTTGGCCAATATCCCTCTAAACCCTTACTATTCATATCCCATCCAGATGCCTTTTAAATGTTGTAATTCTACCAGCGTCCACTACTTTCTCTAACAGTTCATTCCATACATGCATTAGCCCCTGTGTGAAAAGATTGCTGCTTAAGTCCCTTTTAAATCTTCCCCTCTCAACTTAAACCAATGCCTTCTAATTTTGGACTCCGCTACCCTAGGGAGAAGACCTTGGCTATTCACCCTTATCTATGTCCCTCATGATTTTATAAACTTCACGCCTCCATATCCGATACTGTAGGGAAAATAGTCCCAGCCTATTCAGCCTCTCCCTATAGCTCAAACTCTCCAACCCTGGCAACATCCTTGTAAATCTTTTCTGAACCCTTTCAAATTTCATAACATTCTTCCTGTAGCAGGGAGATCAGAATTGAATGCAGTATTCTAAAAGTGACCTAACCAATGTCCTGTATAGCCTCAACATGACTTTTCAACTCCTACACTTAATGCACTGACCAATGAAGGCAAACATACCAAACACCACCTTCATTATTTTGTCAACCTACGACTCCGCTTTCAAGGAACTATGAACCTGCACTCCAAGGTCTCTGTGTTCAACAACGCTCCCTGGGAGTTTGCCGTTAATTGTATGAGTTCTGCCCTGATTCGCCTTTCCAAAATGCAGCAATTGATTTAAAATATGCTTCAAACATATTATTCTTGGAAGGCCCTGGTCTGAAACACACCGGTGAAGTTTACAAGATGAGTCTGCCTTCTATGGGACTGTATTAGATAATAAAATTAGAGACATTTACAAAAATCTGGCAAAGGTTCAAAGGGAAAGTTTTGGATAAGATCATAAGGTGAATTGGCAGGCTTTGGAGTTAATACAGTGTGGAGGTGGAGGAACACAGCAGGACAGGCTGCATCAGAAGGGCAAGAAAGTCGACATTTTGGGTTAGGACCCTTCATCAGGATAGCAGGTCTTGCTAGCTCTTAGCTTTGGAGTTAGTTTGTTTAAGTCAAGTAAGACCCACTGAGTTAATGTTTCATGTCGCTGACCTTTCATCATCAACCTGAAACATTAACTCTGTTTCTTTCTATAGCTGCAACCTGTAGGGTGTTTCTAATTATGTGAGGGTTGTTCAGCCTTACTGGTCACAACTGAACTCACTAATTTATACTTGAAGGCCAGGGCTTACCTTTATTAACCACACTGAGGGATGATAATTAATGCAATTGACACAGATTTCAGACGTTTGAACAATAAGAGTATGTTTAATGCAGCAAATCTCCATATGACACAACCTATGCCGGACATTCTTATGATTAATTACAAAACAGTTATTAAATTACCCAAGGCATGGTGTGGAGATGCGGGGCAGTGGGTTGAAGGTTCTGTAGGCTCTGGATGAAATATTCACGATGCCGTGTCTCCTGTGTTGAGCGTCCTCGGGGCCATACTCATTCCTTGGGTTATGAGACTTTCTTCAGTTCTGGTTGTGGATAGAGAGCGAGCAGGAGCTGCCCTGATGTCCCAATTTCGTTGTTTCTTCCTTCCCTCTAACATTTGACCCCTTCATTTCAGAGGCTGCCCCAGTTTATACCTTTTGTTTGTTCCACTCAGACCGTAAAAAAGACAAAAAAAATGCCTTGATTGATTTCCCCATATAGAGATCTTCGTTTAGGTGTGTATTGTTTTCTGCCCTCATTTATGTTATCAGCTGGTATTGCTGATTAACAGGCCCTTTTCCCAAACCTGGGATTATCCCTGGTGAAATGGCTTAAAATAACTGTGACTTGCTTACTATTTCCAGCATTTTCCAGTTTTATCTCAGATTTTTTGTAATATTTTGCTTTTGTACAACAACTGATGTGGAGAAGTGTAGGGTATTTGTTATTTTGATTATTCAAATGCAAGTTGTACTGAATAAACGAAGTGATGCTGTATGATCACTCACTGTGAAGCATAATGAATCATAGCTGGTCTTATCTCAATTAATACTTTGATACGTGCGAATCATAGAATTCTTACAATGTACATAGAGGCTCTTGGCCAGTCGAGTCTGCACTGACCCCCCGAAAAGCATCCCAGCCATCCCACCCTTGTAAAAGCTGCCAAGTTTTAGTTCTGATCATGATGATATTGTTGTTACATTGCTAAATTGTGCTATTATGTAATTAGATAGGGACTCCAACCTTAAACCTATGCCAGGAGCAATATGCCCTTTGTGGCATAGAATCTTATAACTCTAGAAGTTTCATCTCCATTAACTATTTGAAAAGTATTTTGTTGGTCATTCTTTTATTTGAAGATATTGTTTTTAATGTCTATCCTAATTTTACCATTCATTAATTTCAACTGTGCTCCTTTGTGCTATTCTTACAATTTACTGAGGGGTAGTTTTAATTTTTTAGATCTCCAACAACAAAGATTATCCTCATTTGACTTGGTGATAGAAGCTTCCTTCATGTTTTGTTGATAGGAAATGCATGCAGCGTTCCAAGATATGGTTCAAATAGATCTATAAAGTTTGTGTGTAATGTGTTCTGATTTGTATTCTTCTGTCTTGCTGTTCTAGTGTAGAATTCTAATTATTCTGTTGGTTGCTTTCTTGCAGTACTATGCATGTTTAATATTAGATCCACAACGTCTACTGGCTAGTCTTTAAATGTTATTGTGTTGGTTGTCTTAAACGTTAATGGCTCCCTTAGAGCTTTTGCTTGACCTATTAGCTGCTCCTATTTTTAATCACCTGATATTCTCCTGACAAAATATAGGTCTGTTAGGTAAACCCTTCGTATGTGCTTGGAATAAGAGCCTTCCAAATTGTGAAGTTGTTTTTTCAGTCAGTTGTTCAGACAGGCTATTGAATTAACTATTCTGTATGGTTTCGGGGAAACACACTCGCACTTTAACACCTAAGCAATTATATTTATACTAAACCTTATCTGTGTTTTTTGTTCCTATTTATATATTCTATTCCACCATATTTTGGATTTCCAGTACTACTCCTCAAAAACGACTGTCCCACTTGGTTTAGTATCACCAGCCATATTTAATTGGTAAGTATTAAATATTTGAATCAGTCATTACTGTAATTTAGAAATAATATTGGTCCTACTACTGAAAGCTGGAACAACTCACTCCTTACTTCTGTTCTGCCCAGTATAATTCTTTCAACAATTTAAAAACTATTCTCTACACTCAGTCAATTTCTGATCCATTTTATAATTTCATCCTGAATCATCACCACTTTAAACTTAATCACAAGCTTTTGACAAATGGTTCTTGGAAGGTCTACCACCATGTAGGGATTTTCAAAGTCTACATAAAATGGCACTTGCTCAAAATGTTTTTAAATCCAAGCCAATAAATCACTTTAGTGTTCTATCTGAAGGCGACCATTCGTCTGCTTTAATTCATTTTAATCCTTGCCACAGCTGTTTCCCACTGCCAATTTCTTTATTGTTATGAGCTAACTATACTCTGTTAAGCTATTATTCGATTTTTCTTCAACATAACTAATTTTACCAGTAAAAAGAGATGTAAGGTGAGCAATAATAGTTGCTGTGGAACCTCAAAAACAGCATACAGAAGAAACCATTAAAATATAACATTAGTGGTATGAATGAGAATGCCAAATGATTTAATGGGCTGCAATGACCAATTATTGTCATTAACATTGTCATTATTAACATTCAAATACTTTTATATCGTTGAACTGCAAAACTTTAGATCTGTTTGAATGAGTGGTCGCTAGAGTAAACGTAGAGCACAGAATGTAGGTGCTGGAGTAGGTTATTGAGCCTATTTTGCCATTCAACATTACCTCTAATCCTTTATGTCAATGACACACTCTCACTTCTACTCGTACTCTTTTCGCCACTAAACATGCATTTCTTTCTTAAATATCTACTGTGACTTAGCCTCCACAGTCTTCAATGGTAAAGAATGCAACAAGTTCACTATTCACTGCGTGAAGAAATGTCTCCTCAATTTTGTCTGAAATGGCCCGCCACATATCCTGAAACCATTATCCTTTGTTCCAGACCTCCTAGCAAGGGGAAATAGCAACCCTGCATCCAGTCTATCCAGCGCTGTCAGAATTTTATGTTTCCCTGATCCATTGCTCCAAAATCCAATGAATACAGGTCCAGCTGACCCAATCTGCCCCCATATGATAAACCTATCATCCCAGGAATCAGTCTGATAAATCTTCACTGCACTGTCTGTTTTTTTTTTAGGTATTGAGACCAAGCTGTCCACAGTAGTCCAGGCATGGAAAAACCAAGGTCCTGTGTATTTGCAGCAAGCCTTCCTTGCTCTCATACCCTCACCCTCTTATAATGAAGGTAAACATACCATTTGCCTTTTTAAATGCTTGCTGCACCTGCATGTATGTTTACAGTGACCAGTGTACAAGAGCACCCTTTGTACATCAGCATTTCCCAATCTACCATGTTTTAAATGATACTGAGTCTCATTTTCCTATTGAAGTGCTATTTATGCTCAAGATGAGATTGGGGCATGAGAGTGGGGAAGAGGTGAGAGGTCAGGTGGAGATGGAGCCCAAAGAGAGAAATGAAAATGGAAGGTAAATGAGGGGATTATGGATGACAGGTTAGGACAGAAGATAAGCTGAATAAGTTGCAATGAGAGCTGAGGGTAGCAGAGAATGAGGGTTGAAAGCAAATCATGTAATGTGACAATAGGTCTGAGTGGGTGAAAATGGCTGTGCTAAATGCAACCCATGTCATAACAGGACTAGGTGTGGGCTTGGGTAAAAAAAAAACATGGAATAATGGAATCTGGCTCTAAAGTTATTGAACTCTGTGCAGGATCCCCAAACAGAAAATGAGATGCTGTTCTTCCAGCTGGTGCGGACGCTTGCTGGAACACTGCCTCAGGACAGCAACAGAAAAGTTGACATGGGAACCTATTCGCTGCTCATGACATGCTGAGGCCACCAGGTCAACCTTAGTGTTCTGGTTTTGGGGAGGGTTTTGCCACCACTCAATTGTAGCCCACACCCCCTGCTGGGGCCTACTTCATTTCCTTGGAGAAACAATCTGTTAACATTGGTGCCAACCCCTCTTGTGAGGGACTAACTGCAGTAGCACTACTGGGACTTTATTTTCTTCATTTATTGGATATGAGTGTCACTGGTTAGGCGAGCATTTATTACCCATCCCCGTTGCCCTTGAAAATGTGATGTTAAGCTGCCTTCTTGAACCACAAAGCCCATTAGGGAAGAAGTTTCAAGATTTTGACCCAATGACACAGAAGGAACAGCCATACATTTGCAGGTTAGGATGGTGAGTGCTTTGGAGGAGAATTTGCAGGTCGTGGTGTGTCCATGTAACTACTGCCGTGTTCTTCTTTGGGGATGGTTGTAGTTTTGGAATATGCTGTCATGCATTGGAATGTCAAGGGGCAATGGTTGGACTGTCTCTTAGAGTCATACAGCACAGAAACAGACCCTTCAGTCCAACAAGTCTATGCCGAACATAATCCCAAATTAAACTAGCCCCACCTGCCTGCTCCTGGCCCATATTCTTACAAACCTTTCTTATGCATGTCTTTTAAATGTTGTAACTATGCCCACATCCACCATCTCATCAGGAAGTTCATTCTACATGCAAACCACCCTCTGTAAAAACAAAAATTTGCTGCCATGTCTTTTTAAAATCTCTCTCCTCTCACATTAAAAATGTATCTGCTGGTCTTGAAATCCCCCATCCTAGGGAAAAGACAACTAACCCTATCTATTCATTATTTTGTAAACATGTATAAGGTTGCCTCTCAACCCTTATGCTCCAGTGAAAAAAAGTCCCAGCCTTTCTTTACAACACAAACCTTCCATACCCGGCACCATCCTGGTAAATCTCTTCTGAACCCTCTCCAGCTTAATAATATCCTCCCAATAACTGGGTGACCAGAACTGGACATAGTGTTCCAGAAGAGGCCTCACCAATGACCTGTACAACCTCAATGTGACTTCCCAACTCCTTTGCTCAAAGGACTGAGCAATGAAGGCAAGCATGCTAAACGCCTTTTTAAACACCCTGTCTATATGTGACATAAACTTCAAAGAATTATGTACCTGAACCCCTTAGGTCCTTCTGTTCTACAACAGTACCCAAGGCCCTACCATTAATTGTATAAGCCCTACCCTTGTTTGTTGTACCAATATGCAATACCTCACATTTATCCAGATTGAAGTTCATCTGCCATTTTTCAGCCCATTGACCCATTTGATCAAGATCCCTTTGTAATCTTAGAAAACCTTCACTGTCTACTATGTCATCAATTTTGGTGTTATCTGCAAACTTACTAACCATGCCATCTATATTCTCATCAAAATCATTTATATGAATGATAAACAAAAGAGTACCCAGAACTGATCCCTGTGGAACACTGCTGGTGACAGGCCTCCAGTCCGAGAAACAACCCTCCTACACCGCTCTGTCTCCTGCCTTTAAGCCAATTCTGTATCCAGTTGGCAAGCTCGTCCTGAATGCCTAACTTTATTATTTAGTCTTGTTGGAGAACGTACATTCCTGGCACTTTTATGACATGGATGTTTTTTCTCACTTGTCATGTCATATCCGTGGAGCTGTGAATGGTATTGAACATTGTGCAATCACCGTTTCTGACCTTATGATGGCAGGAAGATCATTGATGCATTAGGGAAGATTATTAGGCCTAACATGCTATTCTGAGGAACTGCTGCAGAGATATCCTGACTGGAGGGTTGCCAGTCATTTGACAAATCAGTAGCTCTTGGTAGCAGGGCTTCCTTCCAGATGAGGATGGGTACTGCCATCTCAGCTAGCAAACAGTCCTTGATGTCTGCAAAATCAGGTTAGGCCATCCCTGCAATGCAGAGGTGCTTGCTCTAAACTTTTCAACCGGGAAGGCAGGGCCACTACATCCACAAGATTTTAACATGTAGGTAGGTGTGAAAAATTGAGTATTATTGTTGATAGTGAGCCTCATGGAGAGGGATTTTTATAGTGAACTTTCACAAGAATTAAAGATCAAATCAAAAACAGAAAATGCTGAAGAAACTCGGGCCTGGCCGCATCATTCTTTTTCTTTTGTAAATATCAGATCATGTGTTTCATTTCACATCTCTTCTTCATTGACAAAGTCTATTGTTTATAAATTCACATATGATGAATGACTGAACTCAGCTACTTCTCAGTCCTTTTGATGGTTGGAAGTTGTGAAAATTGTCACATGCACATATGTGGTTGAAAATTAGCTTCAGTGCTGAGAGTTACAAAAATCACATCAAGCTTTTGAGAGGGGCCTTGAATTAAAGTTTTGAATGGAAGCTCAATTGTTGTCTTCAGTTGTTAGTGATAAATTATTGTGTAATTTCTGAATTGATTGTTTTTTGTATTTGAGGTTGCACTTAGAACAAAACAGTTTTCAGTTGAAGAAAAATGCATTTTTTATTGGTTTATTAGCAAACAGTGGCAAATGTTTATGTAGGGTAAAATCAATTTCAAGTAATTTAATAAGAAATTTAAAATTAAATATTGACAAATGTCTAACAAAAAACAATGGAAAGAGAAACTTATGGACTGGGAGAATTTGTTACAGGGAATGTGGGCATTGCTGGCTTGAACAGCATTTATTGCGAATCCCTAATTTCCTTGGAGAACATTGTGCGAGCTGCTTTCTGAAACCGCTACAGTTCGTGTGGCATGGGAACACCCACTCTACTGTTAGGAAGTGAGTTTCAGTAGTTTGACCCAATGCTACATAGTGCCGAGTCAGGATAGTATGTGACTTGGAGGGCTACATGCAGATGGTGGTGTTCCCATGTATCTGCTGTGCTTGTCCTCGAGGTTCTGTAGCAAAACTGGATTTAATGTTGAAAGGGCCTTGGTGGGTTGCTAAAGTGCACCTTTCAGATGATACACACTGCCACCATTGTGCATCAGTGATGAAGGGAGTGAATTTTGAAGGTTGTGGATAGGGTGCTATCCAAGTCTGCTGCTTTGACTGGCAGGTCAATTGTTGTTGGAGCTTCACCCATCCAGAAAATGAGTAATATTCCATCACACTGCCTTGTAGATGGTGTACTTGCATTGGGGAGACAGGAGATCTATTAATGGCTGCGGAATTCCCAGCCTCTGACCCACTCTTGTAGCCACAGTATGTTTCTGGCTGGTCTAATTCAGTGTCTGGTCAATGTTGACCTCCAGGATAGTGGGGGATTCAGTGATGGCAGTGTCATTGAATATCAAGATGCAATTCTTAGATTATCTCTTGTTGGAGAAGTTATTGTCTGGCAGTTGTGAAGCACAAATGTTACTTGTCACTTACTAGCCCAAGCCTAGATGTTGCATGTCTTGCTATGAACATGACTGCTCGAGTATTTGAGGAGTCACAAATGATGCTGAATGTTGTGCAGTCATCGCACACATCCAGCTTCTAATTGAAGGAATGTCATTGAAGCAACTGAATATGGTTGGACATAGGACACTATCCTGAGGAATTCTTGCTTTAATGACCTGGACCTTCTTAATTTCTGTCAGGTATGACTCCATCCAACGGAGTTTTTGCTGATTCTCACTGATTCCAGTTTTCTTAGGGTTCCATGAGGTCAATGGCAATTAGTCACACCTTGCCTCTAGAACTCAGCTGTTTTTGTCGATGTTTGGTCCAAGCTGTAATGAGGTTGACCATCAATAGGAAATTATTCATTTGCAATTCCCACTTGATGGCACTGTTGACGGTCAAGAGTAGACATAGGGCGGTACTCGACTGGGTTGAGGTTGTCTTTTTATTCACAGGATATGCCTAGGCAGTTAATATTGTTAGATATCAGTGATGTAACTGTCTGGAACAGCTTGGCTAGGAGTTAATTCTAGAGAACAAGACATGCATCCTATTGCTGGAATAGTATCAAGATCTATAGCCGTAGCAGGTCCAGTGTCTTCAGCTCTTTCTTAATGTCACATAGAATAAATTGAATTAGTTAAAGACTGACCGATTACCATCTGGGATGGTGTACACCTCAGATGGAGGCCTGCATGGATCATCCACTTGACACTTCTGGCTGAAGATAGAATCGCTACACATGCCCTCCGAAGAGCATCCCACCCAGACCCGGCCCCCCCATTATATCCCAGTATTTACCATGGCTAACCACCCAGTCTGCACATCCCTGTACATTCCGGGGCATTTTAGCATTGCCAATCCACCTGAACTGCATATCTTTAGACTGTGGGAAGAACCTGGAGCACCTGGCGGAAACCCACACAAACACTGGGAGAACATGCAAACTCCACACAGGCAGTCACCCAAGGCTGGAATTGAATCCTGGTGCTGTGCTGATTACTGAGCCACCATGCTACCCAAAAGGTGAATGCAAATATTTCAGAAAACCAAAAAAAATCAAAGAACTGCAGATACTGTAAATCTCAAATGAAAACAGAAATTGCTGGAGAACCTCGGCACGTCCAGCAGCATCTGTGGAGAAAAAGCAGTTTCGGGTCCAGTGATTCTTCTTCAGAACTGGTTATTTCTGTTTTTGTTGCTAATACTTAAGCCTTGTTTTATGCACTGATGCCTTTGGCTTCCCCATTATTGAGGATGGTGACTTTTACTGACCCACCAACTCCTGCTAGTTGTTCAATTATCCACCGCTATTCACAACTGGATGTTGCCAGACTGCAGAATCTAGATCTCATCTATAGGTTGTGGGATTGCAAAGCCTTGTCAATTTCATGCTGCTTCTAGTGTTTTGCATACAAGTCGTCCTGTTATGCAGCTTCACCAGGTTGACACATATGGGCAGGTATGCTTGGTGCTGCTTCTGGCATGCCCTCTTGCATTCTTCATTGAACCAGGGTTGATGTCCTGGCCTGATGGTAACGGTAAAGTGGGGCCTTATGCTGGGCCATGGGGGTTACAGATTATGGTTGAATAGAATTATGCTACTACTCGCCCAAGGTGTTGCACGGATGCCCAGTTTTCAGTTGCTAAATATGCTTGAAGTGTGTCATATTTAGCATAGTGGCTGTGCTGCACATCATGATAGAGAGTATCATCAGTGTGAAGGCGGAACTTCACCTCCACAAGGACCCTGCAGTAGTCACCCCTAGTGATACTGTTGTGGACAGAAGCATCTGCAACAGATTCGTAGATTCAGAGTCAAGCAGCATTTTCCCTATTGTTGGTTCTCTCATCACCTGTCACAGACAGACCCAGTTTAGCAACTACATCTTTCAGGACTCCACCTGCTCAGTCAGTAATGGTGGTAGTGAATCTGTTTTGATGGACATGGAAATTCCCAACCCAGAGTCCAAAATTGTCTCGCGTGTCATGTTTTCTTATTGATGGTGGTGGTATATCTCAACTGTATGATACAATTCTGTATGCATGCCTACCATAACTGTCAGGCTTTTAGTTGACCAGTCTGTGGGAACAGTTTTAATTTTTACACAAGTCCCCACATGTTATGAAGTAGGATTTTGCAGGGTCATTTCTTGCCATTTCTGGTGCCTATGCCATTGCCGGCTGGTCTGTTTGGTTTCTTCAGACTTTATCATGCTTTCATGCAACTTAGTGTGTTGCTAAGCCATTTCAGAGGGGAGTTGAGTCAACTATATTGCTGTGGATCTGAAGTTGCATGTAGGACAGACCAAATAAAATGGCAGATTTTCTTCCCTGAAATGCAGATGTAAAACAGGTTTTTTTATGATAATTGTTACATGTTCATTATTAGGCTAGCTTTTAATTCCAGATTTCAAATTTCATGATCTACCATGTGGAATTCAAACTGATGTCCCCTGAAGTTCGGTGACATTACCACAATGCCACCACCTCTTCACTTGTCTATGTAAGTCTTCTAATAGATTGTCGGTTTTTGACATGGCTACTACTATCTGTACTTTTCTGTTCACCCTCCGCAAACAAAACCAACCAAATACACTTAGAACATAGAACAGTACAGGCCCTTCGGCCCACGATGTTGTGCCGACCTATTATCCTACTAAGATCAATCTACCCTGCATGCCCTACATTTTACTATCCTCCATGTGCATATCCAAGAGTCGCTTAAAAGTCTGTAAAGTATCTGACTCCACTACCACTGCCAGCAGCGCATTCCACACGCCCACCACTCTGTGTGAAGAACCTACCTCTGACATCTCCCCTATACCTTCCTCCAATCACCTTAAAATTATGCCCCCTCGTAACAGTCATTTCCGCCCTGGGGAAAAGTCTCTGACTATCCACTCTATCTATACCTTTCATCATCTTGTAAACCTCTATCAAGTCACCTCTCATCCTTCTTTGCTCCAATGAAAAAAGCCCTAGCTCCTTCAACCTTTCCTCATAAGACCTGCCCTCCAGTCTAGGCAGCATCAGGGTAAATCTCCTCTGCACCCTCTCTAAAGCTTCCACATCTTTCCTATAATGGGGTGACCAGAACTGAACGCAATATTCCAAGTGTGGTCTAACCAGGGTTTTATAGAGCTGCAGCATAGCCTCATGGCTCTTAAACTCAATTCCCCTGCCAATGAAAGCCAACACACCATATGCCTTCTTTACAACGCAATCAACTTGGGTAGCAACTTTGAGGGATCTATGGACGTGGACCCCAAGATCCCTCTGTTCCTCTACACTGCCGAGAAGCCTGCCGTTAACCCTGTATTCTACATTCAAATTCGACCTTCCAAAATGAATCACTTCACACTTTTCTGGGTTGAATTCCATTTGCCACTTCTTTGTCCAGCTCCGCATCCTGTCAATGTCCTGTTGCAACCTACAACAGCCCTCCACGCTGTCCACAACTTCACCAACCTTCGTCTCATCGGCAAACTTACTAACTGACCCTTCCACTTCCTCATCCAAGTCACTTATAAAGATCACAAAGAGCAGAGATCACAGAATAGTTCCCTGCGGAACACCACTGGTCACCGAGCTGCAGGCTGGGTAATACTGTTTTAATTACTGTCAGATATATTTTGTGTTAACCAAGCCATTTAGAAGAACACTTTAGAAAACATCAAGAAAAATACATCCTTTTCCCTCCAGTGCCTGTGTAGGATAGTATTTGCCAGTTCCTGTTATATGGATTGACCTGTCTATCATTTCTGAACTAAATATTGTAATTTGAGCTCTGTGTATTTAAGCCCTCACAGGTACATGCGGCAAAAAAAAAAATGCCTGTGTATATTGCTTGAAAATTGTGGTATCATCATTGACTCTGACTCTGATTTGGTACCTTTGTATCAGAAGGTATGGATTCAAGCCTGACTAAAGTATGTAACCTAGACTTCCACACAAGAGCACCACTGTGAATATGGCTCCAGTATTGGAGCTGGATGAGATTTCTAACAACACTGACTTTACTTAAAAACTACTTCATTTCCTATGTACATTTAAATGTCATAAGGTTATAAAAACAGGTATATAATTCCCTGTGCAACATACATGGAAATGTCAGCTGTTTATGCTGAAAAGTTGGAATAAAAATCAATGCTTCGATGTCTGATGGCTGCTTGCCTCTCTTTCTTGGCTTTAGCTTCCATCCCCAATCTATCGGTATTGTTTAGATTCATTACATACTTTGACCTCAAGTGTTGCTCTCACATCTGTCATTTGTTAAAACTGCATCCAAGAACCTATATTTTCTCTTTCAGGTCAAGTAACTTTTCTTTTCTCTCTGCTTAGCAATCTAAACAATTCCCCAAGTAGACCAAGATTCTCAAAGTGTTTGATGCCTATGGAAGATACAACCAGTGATATCATGTAGTAACTAAGAGAAAAAGCAAAGCATCCAAAGTAATTTGCTTATGAGTCTGGTAATGCTGACTGTTTGAATCCAGTCCAATGTGATTTGTAATAGTACTAATCAAACAACATTTGGGAAATTAGCAATGACAAAAAGTCTAATTTCTAGAAAGACCTGATATCTGTTTGTCACTGTAAATATGATTGTAATTCTGAACTCCAATTTAGTATATTAAGTATAAACATGTTGTTAATAGCAAAAAATGCTAGAATTTGACAACACATTTTTATGTTTCCTGTGCAGAAGAAATCGAATTGCATTCTAGAAACAGTGAGGAGGGAAAGAAGGAAATGATTTTCCAGATGCGTTTATCCCATTGTTATCTGCAACCCTATAATCAAACTTTGTTGTTGATATACCTTGACTGTAACAAACTGATTCAGAAATTCTTGTGGCCATTAGACTCCGAGCTTACTTTTGCAGTCTGAATTATTTTTTTGAAAATTGAGCAAAAACACTGCAAGGGAAAAGGTTGCTGATTAACTTAATGAAAAGTTACCTATAACAGCTGACTCCAGGAGTTGATTTGTTTGAAATTGTGTAATATTTTAAAAATTTAGAGTTGTTTGTTTTCTGAAAGATGTTGCAAATGCCACATCCTATTTGGTGAATGCGAACTGCTTTGCTTAAATTAAAATTCCCATGCTGTATCCATTTGCAAAGAAACTCTTACAGTGCTGCTTCTGCCAGGAAGTTTGGGATACCCTGGATCATGTACCTTTCCATATTTGGGACTAGTATTGCTTAGTAGAAACCAATAAAGTTTTCATATGCTAATGTTTTCTGTGTTTTTCATTTTATGATTCTGCATGTTTCCTTAGCAACCATCCTGATCGCGAACTAAACTAATTCATTGGAGAAATTAGTTGAGGTGCTAACTTGGTTGACGTATTTGCAAAACCAGTGTTGATCCTCAGTTGTTTTTCAATTTGGCGCCAGTATAGTTTTAAATCACTGGATGCAAATTTCATCTCTGTAATCTATAGTCTTTGGTAATGTGTAATATTATTTGTGTCTCTCGTTAAGTATGTCAGGGATTTATACTGAGGCCCTAGCAGTGGAGGTTGGCCGTGCAGGGACACTTGCTTGTTCTTATTCTAACTGTGGGAGTTCAAATCTGAATTGAACGATGGATTTTGTCAGAAGAAACTTGTTAGCAACTTCCTGTGTTTCCCATTACTTGATCCAAAGAATGTTTGTTGGTAGATCTTAGGCAGACTGCTGCATATTGGGTGGAAGGTAGGCAATAGATAGGTTGAACAGATCATCATGGCATGATGAACAAGGTGTAGCATGGATAGTTTCAAGCAACTTGTGAATTTTTGTCAGTGATGTACAATGTCATGTTTGCAAGCACACAAAGCCAGAGGGAAGGACTTGAATGGAGGCTTCTAGTATGTTACACATTGTTGTGTAAGATACACCAGGAGATAGAAAAGGTGTGTAAGAAAGGCAAAGTCACAGTGATCATGGGGGATTTCAATATGCAGGTGGACTGGGAAAATCATGTTGGTAGTGGATTGCAAGAAAAGGAGTTTGTGGAATGTCTACGAGGTGGAACTCATAAGGGAACAGGCAATACTGGATTTAGTGCTGTGCAATGAGGCAGACTTGATAAGGGAGCTTAAGGTAAAGGAACCCTTAGGAGGCAGTGAGCATAAGATGATAGAATTTACTCTGCAATTTGAGAGGGAGAAGATAGAATCAGAGGTAACAGTATTACGGCTGAATAAAGGCAAGGGAGGAGCTGGGCAGAATTGACTGGAAGAGGACCCTAGCAGGAAAGACAGTGGAACAGCAATGGCAGGAGTTTCTGGGAGTAATTCAGGAGACGCAGCAAAAATTCATCCCTAGGAAAAAGAAACTGGTGCAGGGAGGATATGGCAACCATGGCTGACTAAGGAATCAGGGATAGCATAAAAGCAAAAGAGAAAGTATATAATGTGGCGAAGGGCAGTGGGAAACCAGAGGACTGGGAAGCTTACAAAGACCAACAGAGGGCAACAAAAAAAGAAATAAGGAGGGAGAATAGGAGGGTAAGCTAGCCAGTAATGTAAATGAAGACTGAAAGAGTTTCTTTAGGTATATAAAGGGCAAAAGAGAGGCAAAAGTGGACATTGACCACTGGAAAATGACGGTGGGGAGATAGTAGTGGGGAACAAGGAAATGGCTGACAAACTGAATAATTACTTCGCGCCAGTCTTCACGATGGAAGACACGAGTAATTCCCCAAAAATTCAACAGAGTCAGGAGGCAGAGCTGAGTATGGTGGCCATCACCAAGGAAAAGGTGCTAGTAAAACTGATTGGTCTGCAGTTGGATAAATAACCTGGACCAGATGGACTACACCCCAGAGTTCTAAAGAAGATAGCTGAAGAGATAGTGGAAGCGTTAGTGGTGATCTTTCAGGAATCGCTAGAGTCGGGGAGGGTCCCAGAGGACTGGAAAATCGCTAATGTGTCACCCCTGTTTAAAAAGTCAGTAAGGCAAAAGACGAAAAATCACAGGCCGATTAGCCTAACCTCGGTCGTGGGTAAGATTTTGGAGTCCATTGTAAAGGATGAGATTTCTGAATATTTGGAAGTGTATGGTAAAATAGGGCAAAGTCAGCATGGTTTCATCAAGGGGAGGTCATGCCTGACAAATCTGCTAGAATTCTTTGAGGAAGTAACAAGCAGGGTAGACCAAGGAGATCAATGGATGTTATCTACCTGGACTTCAAGAAGGCCTTTGATAAGGTGCCACACAGGAGGCTGCTGAGTAGGATAAGGGACCACGGTGTTAGAGGCAAGGTGCTAGCATGGATAGAAGATGGCTGTCTGGCAGAAAGCAGAGAGTGGGGATAAAGGGGTCTTCGTCAGGATGACAGCCGGTGACAAGTGGTGTTCCGCAAGGGTCAGTGCTGGGACTACAACTTTTCACTTTGTACATTAATGATGTAGATGAAAGAACTGTGGGCATTCTGACTAAGTTTGCAGACGATACAAAGATAAATGGAGGGACAGGTAGTATTGAGGAGGTGGCGAGGCTGCAGAAGGATTTGGACAGGTTAGGAGAGTGGGCAAAGAAGTGGCAGATGGAGTACAACGTGGGAAAGTGTGAGGTCATGCACTTTGGTAAGAAGCATAAAAGCATGGACTATTTTCTAAATGGGGAGAAAATTCAGAAGTCTGAAGTGCAAAGAGACTTTGGAGTTCTAGTCCAGGATTCCCTCAAGGTAAACTTGCAGGTTGAGTCAGTAGTCAGGAAGGCAAATGCAATGTTGGCATTTATTTTGAGAGGACTTGAATATAAAAGCAGGGATGTACTACTGAGGCTTTATAAGGCTCTGGTCAGGCCACATTTGGAGTATTGTGTGCAGTTTTGGGCCCCATAATCTCAGGAAGGATGTACAGGCCCTGGAGCGGGTTCAGAGGAAGTTGACGAGAATGGTCCCAGGAATAGAAAGTTTAACACATAAGGAACGTTTGAGGATGCTGGGACTATACTCTTTGGAGTTTAGAAGGATGAGGGGGGATCTAATTGAAACTTTCAGAATACTGAATGGCCTGGACAAAGTGGATGTTGGGAAGATGCTTGGTAGGAGAGTCTAAGACCTGAAGTCACAGCCTTAGAGTAAAGGGAAGACCTTTTATAACGGAGATAAGGAGAAAATTCTTCAGCCAGGGAGTGGTGAATCCATGGAATTCACTGCCACAGAAGCTGTGGAGGCCAGGTCATTGAGTACATTTAAGACTGAGATAGATAGGTTTTTGATTATCAAGGGGATCAAGGGTTACATGGAGAAAGCAGGAGAATGGGGTTGAGGAACTTATCAGCCATGATTGAATGGCCTAATTTCTGCTCCTATGTCTTATGGTTGTGGATGACTGAGCGTGAACAAAATGTGTGTGATGACCTTTGACAAACAGGTACATGGTACTCTGCTGCGGAGTACGATACGGCAAGGTATGGACTATTGTGGCAGCAGTGCACTGAGCGGATCCAACTAGTTTGGCTAGTAGGTTGTTTCTCGTTTTGATTGCTGCTGCTGTTTTCTTCATATGTTCCCAGAAGGACAAAGGCTAAATCTTGGGCTGCTCCAAAGTCTGTTGGATTGGGATAATGTTTAGTTTCTGGCCATCCATGTAAACATGCAATATCTATATAAGGAAGGCAATGGCTTGGTGGTATTATCATTAGATTGTTAATCCAGAGACCCAGGTAATGTTCTGGGGACCAAGGTTTGAATTCCAAAAACAAAATCTGGAGTTACGAATCTACTGCTGGCAGTGAAATCATTGCTGATTGTTGGAAAAACCCATCTGGTTCACTAATGTCCTTCAAAGAAGGAACTATGCCATCCTTACCTGGTCTGGCCTATATGTGACTCCAGACTCGCAGCAACATGGTTGACTCTCAACTGTCCTCTGGGCAATTACGGACGGGCAATAAGTGCTGGCATGGACAGTGACGCCCTTGTCCTATGAATGTATATAAAAAAATCCTTTTTGGCATTGGCATTGTGGAGGTAGAATGCACTGCAAGAAACATTGACTTTGTAGTATCATTGTTAAGAATCTGGTCTGGGTGGCAGAAGAGTGGCGCTTGGATGACGCAACAGATGTCATTGATGTAACTGAACTTGCAGGATGTGGTTGTTGGTAGGTAATTTGTATAAATGTTGAACAGCTTTGGGGCTGTTGTTAGTTGGTTGCTACCTTTCTGCATATTAGTTTCCCTTGCCCAAGCTGAACTCTAAATCATTTGTTCAACAACTGACCAGGTTGGCAACAATATTATCAGCTTGAGGAGCAGATCTTTGTGCCATACTGTATCATGGGTGGCTGCACTTGTTAGCAATGCCACTGCTAGGTGGAGCATTGCAGTCTATAAACTGTGAATGTTGAGGAAGTTGTACCTGATTGTGCCACAAACAACCATGTTTTTTGTAAAATTTGTTCCAAGCAGGAAACAAGTAACCAGATAGCAGCAATTTCTTATATTAAATTTTAAACTGGCTATAAACTTCGGGTGAAAAATTGCAACGATTACAATCAGTCTGTTAATTTCTTTGCAGATTGGTCCTTCTGGTGACTATTAAATAGCCTCCGAGTTACAATTTTAATGTTGTGCTGTATCTATAAAGACAGGTTATTTAACAGTCACCAGAAGTGCTGGTTTGCAAAAAAATTCACAGATTGTGTTTATAATTGTTGCTATTTATTTCTGATTTGACAACTGCTTTAAATTTTTTTTTTCTGCTGGTATCACACTATAGTTGCACGTGTACGCCTGCATCATGGAGGTAATTTATTGTTGGGAACAGACACTCTGATCATAGGCAGCTGTGAGGTCCAGTGACATTATGGCTGTCTTCAGATATTTTTGGAAGCCATTTATGATGTTGGTGGTAAGTGCCCGAACTTGATCACGTGTGCTGAGTACTTTACAGAAACTAGATTGTTCAATAATAAGGATGATCTTTACTACCAGAATTGTGCATCAGATTTTGAAGCAAAATAATGAAATCTGCTGAGCTGGCTGCCAATGTAAAATATTTTGTAAGTTTTGAAATGACAATGACTGTATACCACAACTTTGGGAGTGGATTTGAGCTGTTAGTCAGCACAGCAAGTGCACTAGGGCCAGGTTTATTTAAGGAATTCTGGTACAATGTGCTTCTGCTGCTTTGCCACATTTCAGACTCCTTTAATGCTTTCTGCTGTTCTATGGTCTTGAAGGGATCTGGACTGACATGTTCTGATGTTGCTTACATTGTTTCATGCTT